TCATATTTTCCAAATTTTTCTTTTTTTTCTTTTTTTTTTTTTTCTTTTATCGACTTTAACATGTTCATTTTAGTCTAAAGAAAGGAACTCCCAAAAATCTAGTATATAACTTTTCTTAGCCTCTGTAGGACATCTTATTCTAAACGAAAAAAATATTTACAGATACAGATCTGAATGTAAAATGTCATTGCATTAATCAAATCCATATTCATGTAATTTAATTTTTGTTTAGAATAATTTTCCTTTTTGTGAAAGTGAAGTTGCAAGTCAGATTTTTGTGATGTGTGTTACATGAAACTATTCTTACTTCGTATATATACATATAAGTGTTTTATATATTTGGTAATTGTAGTGTTAAAAGTATTAGAACCTTTTTAGTTGTATAATTTAATTGTTATTCTTTTAGTTGTTTGTCTTTTCCCCTGGTTTTTCAAAGGTCAATTTGGTTTGAGTGATTCTTATTACAAATTACTATAAGCTCTGATGCAAAATGCTTTTTAAAGTCGTGCACTGCAACATTGCCAATTTCTATATAGTATTGCAAATTACTACTAAACAAAAACCAATCTCTTTCTCGTGAATTTTATTAGTTCATGATTGCACAAGCATTAAAAAAAAACTATTTATCATTTCAATTAGACGATTTTTTTACAAATTTTATTATTTCATTCACAGTTTAAAAAAAAAAAAAGGAATAAAATCTAAGTCGACAAAAGAGAAAATACGAAATGTGAGTCTGCTTGTGCTATCATACAAGCAAATAGAAAAATTGTACGTTTCAGGATGAATATTGAGGGGATTAACAACGTTTCTCTATGTGATCTATAAAAAACGGATAAATTTCAGTTTTTTATACATTTTGATCTACTTTGAATAATTGTCTATAGGGAGGAAATGGATAATCACCTCGAATCAATGCAGACAGAATTGGACAACCTCCGTGATATTCTACGCGGCGAGGGTTACAGTATCGATGCAAATACACTACTTGGTGTAAGTTTTTTTTTTATTTAAACAATGTGTAAGTTATTTAAAATAATCAACAAATTTCCTATTTTATTGTTCAATGTATTTTTACAGTTATTCGGAGCAGATGACCCAATGTCATTTGGTATGCCTCTTAATCCAGAACTGAATCCACATTCGGAGAAAGAAGAGGATGATCATGCTAATGGTGAGATTTCAAATTCTTCATTAATCGATATTAATTTTCGTTTCATTCTTATTATTATTATTATATTCAACGTCGTCTAATGTGTAATTAAGTTTGTTTCATATGTCGTAATTTGTTTATAGTTGCAGAAAATATTAACGGAACGGGTAGTGGAGGTGAACTTATGGCATACAATCCTACACCAAACTTATTAGATTTCGACGATGACATATTCTTGGGTGCTACGTCTCCTGCAACTAACACATCAGGTGATACAGCTATGAGCAGTCTTTATACATCGGATCCTCTCGATTTGGAAGATAACAAAACATCACTCCTCGAATCCTTAACAAACGATGTAAACTCTTCATCATAAAGTCTCATTCCTATGGTAAGTTTTTCAATGATTTCTCTTATATATGTATATATATGATAAGTGATCATTATTTCATTTAAAGGAAAAAAAGAAAAGAAAAGAAATATTTTTATTACCGCGCAGTAGAAGGTACTTGTTCATAATATTTATACGCAATCGTTTCATTGCTATATATTATTGATTGTTATGTCATTCTTGGCTCGCGTATGAAATTTATGTAATATATGTATATATACATATTTGTCGAGTAGTTGGTCACATAACGAATCTTCGTTGAAGAAGAATTACAAAATTTTTCCGTCGAGATTGTCCTTCTCCGAGGTTCAGCCTCTTTGCAAAAAAAGATATTGTCTTAGGATAGATTTTTTTGCAGGTTCAGATCACTGTTGCGTCCAATGCTTTGGTTTCAGTATGTTTTATTCTCGATGGATCATCACGAGCATGCTCTCTGTCTCTGTCGCTCTCGGTGTATTTCGATGACCAAATAAGCAACGAGCTTGTAATGTGCAGACAAAAGTACCTATACCTGAGGAGAATGCGGTCTCGATGTATGCGATCGATCAAAATGATCCTGTCGATTATATGGAGGACAATAATCACTAAAAACAAAAAAAGAAAAAAAAACAAAAAAAAAAAAGCTACCGGGGCGCATAAAATCCTCTGGATTTGCTGCTATTATAATATTATAAAACCGATGATAAAAAAAAGTATTCGATTGTTACAAAATAACTTTTCATGAATTTTAACGTTGATCTTATGTCGTATTCTATTCACAGTACATTTATACTATTTATATTATAGTATCGGTGAAACGACATGAAAGTAAAATAAGGAAATTATTTATTTACTGATGTACTTTTTGTGACTTCGTAGATATTTTTTTTTTATATACACGTATATATAATTCGATCACATGACACGAATTATCAGTTTTTATTTTTATTTCAAAAGTAGCGGGAGCACGTTATAGTGACTAACGTTTCTTGTCAATCGTACAACAATACAAATTTAAAGTTCCTGTATGTATATCTCATCTCAGAAAATTATCGTATCTTTGTTGCGTAGTCTTTCTTTTTTTTATCGCCTCGAACAGAAACTGCAGAAATGTAACAAATAGACTAATAGTTTGTTAAATGCATTGCTTAGAATTCTGTATATTTTTCTTTTTCTCTCGTATATTGTGTCACGAATGATTATATAGATAATAGTGTTTAGAATCACTTGTCTGTTTAACGATCTCATTATTTACCGGTGACAGATATGAAGGTTTTTTTTTTTCATTCTGAACTCTCAAGTTGCATCCATGTAAATAATTAAAGAAAAGAAAAAAAAAGTATATACGAAATTCGTATTTTTTGTACTGAATTCTTCTGACAGAGGAGAACAATGGCAATGTATGGTAAACATTGATTCTATGAAAAAGAATTACATTGAAACGTCCAGTGTTCTTGTAGATCAAGGTATACTGTACAGAGAAAGAAAAAGGAAACGCCAAAAGCGATTTTATATTTTTATAATAAAATAAACCTAAATCTGCGCGTTTAACACGCTTTTTTTCCTGAGAAAAAAAAACGAAAATATTTTTCTGTGGACGTCGACTCATTGTACATAAAACAAATATTTATTTTTTTCTTTGTTTGTATATACACACATGTAGATTGTGACGATATTGTAACAATTATTAAATAATATCGCATCGAACAACACTTCGTGATTATGTTAAAAATGTAAGCATTTTATCAACGTCTTCATCTTTTTAAGTTACAGAATAAAAAGAGACGAATAAAAACTAACGTACGAACAAGTATTCAAAACGAACAGTTACCAGATGTGTATTTATTATGATACATAACATGACATAATATATACTTCTTATCTTTCTACATTAGAAAATGCACAATGTTTTGAAACAGTTTACTTCTCATACAAGTTCATCAATATTGAACTTGATTATAGTATTATCTGTTTTGTGTTAACAAATACACAGATGAAACTGATTATAATTGACTTCATTTATATAAATATATTCAATGAATACTTTCAAAATAAAAATGTGAATGTCTTTCTCATTCATTTTCACATTACTGTTCACCTGAAATGATGTGCAGTGACTGTATATAATACCAAATAAATGTAAGTTTCTTATCTCTTTTGATTGTTTTGTTTGATCTACAAGCTCTAATGGTCCAAAAAGTTACTGTTTATTGTCAAAAAGTACGAATATATATATTTTTTAAGAACAACAATTTTAATATATCATTTACTAATGCTGTTTAAAGAAAAAGAATTCTAACTCTAAAACAAATTATATACAATTATTTTTGTCTTTTATACTAACAAAATTAGTTCGATGTGTTTTCAGCTAGCTATTCCGCAGCAATCGGACGCTTCGTTATTCTATTTGCTTAGCTTAACAAAAAAATATTCTTTATCAGGCTAAAAATTAACAGAAAACAAAGTACACCTTATCTATTTAGGAAGAATCTGTGGACGAATCGTTGTTATTTCCATTGCGGTTAATTAAAAGTATTCCCTGATATTGTTCAGTTCAGCAATTTTTCAAATCACTTTACATGTGTAGCAAAAATATGCATTCTAACGATATTTAAATCTATCGAGCATGCTGAAGAATATTTTTCTACTACAGAAAAAGAAAAAAAAATTAAAGAGTAGGTGTTCTGATAAGGAAGATTGAAGACAATATGTCCACTATATGCGAACTATAGCTGGTGGTTACTAGCTACAAATAGATTACCGCCTGTTGCATTCACAAATACATATAATTGTTTTTTTATTTTAGCCTGGGAGGAAAGACTGCTGGATTTTTAAATTACCTCGTTGGTAATATCTTCGTTTTAATTAGCGAATATGATACTATGATGAACCCTGTGACGAGTTTAGTATCTGAAGGGAAATAGAAAAGGTTAAAGGAAAGTGTGTACGTACAAAGGTTCGCGCATAAAATTCCTTGAAGAAGAAAGTAAACAGCAAGAAGAACCAAACGGTATAAATCTTGATCAGAAGGAATATTTATCTTCACGTTGATGATGATGATGATAATGACAAAGATGATAAAGATGATAAAGATGATAAAACTACGTGATTGAGAACGTATTCCAAGAACCTCCTATTGAGAGAGTATAGCGCAAAAAAAGAGGGAAGAAAAAAAAGTGAGACGCGCGCATCGTATATTATACATTGTATCGAGAAAGACCTACAAATAATTCCCGTTTTCACTAATTTGTATATAATCACGCAGGATTGTCGTAACGATAAAGAAACGTGGGATATTTTCTAAAAATATCCGTCACCAGAAGAATAATAATTTTTTTACATAGCGTGTGTGTAAAGCACAGTATTAAAGTATAAATGAATTAATTAAATCTGCACTATGCGACGTGTACGAGAGAACGTACATAAATATATGTATACATAAAACTATACATATATATATACGTAACAGAAACGAAAGCGTGTTAAAAGTATAACATTTGTTTAATTTTTTTTTTCCCGTAATTATTCTTTCGCTCTGGTTACAAAATTGAATAAAGATTAAAAAGTGATAGTACGACCTAAGATTTCAGTGCCCATAATATATTAAAAGCACTATCACTGCCTTTTTGTTGTGTAAAAATTTTCATTATTTTTATGTCGATGATTTTTCGTATTTAACCCTCTACAGCTTTTCTTTCATCTTTTTAAGTTTCTTTTTTAATGTGTCAAAGACTATAAAGGATTAATATCATTGATAAGCATATCCTCTTGATGAACTTCGTAAGTAAGTTAAAAATTAGTAATTAAATATAATCAAGATATTCCACTAAATACTTAGTCATACGAATGTCATTCATGATTCCTTTCATTAAACACTGAAATCTTAGTATTGAGTCTCTAACAGATAAATTGACAATTTGAGTTTGTATATATCAGAAAATAATGTAATTAGAATGGCACAGTAATCTTTGTCACATTAACATGTTATTTTAATTTTAATGATAAGTAGATTTTTTTTATATTAATTTGCCAAGAAACAGTTTGTATTACATTACAAATTCATAGAAAACTTAGTGTATGTTATGTAATTGCACATACATTGAAGTGTCAACCATACATTAACTATGTATCTTACTCTTTTTTTTTTTCATAACATCTTGAAACTAATTTCAGCACACTATAGTTTCTTAGATTTAACCCACATTTACATTACTTATCTACGTGTTAGAATTATTTTTATTATCTAACTATTAAGTGTCTGTTAATTTACAATGCAACATGTGAAAATCTTCGGAAAACCTTTTTGTTCTGAATATATAACAAAGAAAATTGTTATGATCTTCCATGGGCTATTTCTTTTTATTTCTGTTTTATTTTTTTTATTAATATCAAAGATTGAGATTGTTTCTAAAACTATAAACGTTCGTTTTATAACTTGATATCTAAAAATCGTATATTCCGTGCATCTTAAATATTATTAACAATTAGATTACTTGCATGAAATGATTTTTTACTTGCCCATAGGGGATTAAACTACAAGTTGGTGAAAATCAAAATGATGTATCCTGTACAAAAGTATAGCTGATACTACACTGCTTGTAGGTATCTAATTTTGTGATACATTAAAGAGTTTTGTACAGAAGGATAGGATTGAGCTGAGATCACGAGTGAACAATTACCCGCTTATTGGTTATGAAATTGCGTGTTTTGCTACTAATTATGGCATACCACTTACAATAGGATTAATGGGCAAATTAAAACATTTAAATATCGGAAGAAAAATACTGAGGAAAAAAGTTCGCAATTTTTTATTCGTCTACATCTATCTTATAAAAGGGACACTCATACTCTTATTTTACTATATCACGATTGGAAATTGACTTTATCCTGTCGCCTACAACTATTGTTGTCACCTGACAAATACATATATGTATTTAAACAAAAAAAGAAAACGATTAAAAGCATAATCTTTGAAAACTACAATCTTCGTCAAAAATTACTTTATTCAACACAGATAAATTTTTAACTATCATAAAAGATAATGTTAAATTTGTTTGTTTTTAAATAAAATTTAGACCATTGTTTATATAATCTTATTAAATATCCTGGCTCGAATGATTTATCCTTATACAATAAAGATGCATGTACGTTGCATAAATTGCGATGCACAGGTTAAAGAAACTTTTGAAAACAAGTTTTATACTATACGAAGGTATAGAATCTTATGAGGATTAAATTAACCAAGTATATATTGTAATATGAACAGCAATTTCAACAATTTTCTATATAGGAAGAGTAATTGTGTCTATACTCGAATGATATTTTTTATATAACAATACCAATATAATGTATATTGTAAGCTTCGAGAAAGCAACTCTTACATTATGTACGAAAGAATGATTAAATTATATTTACGTTTATTTTATAGTTCTTCTCTTTTTTTTTTTAATGGCAGCACTTTCACAAAAATACTTCAATTCAAATTTTAATGCGATTGATTTCATTAACATTGTTACGTCGCAACGGTACGATGATGGACGCGGAATAAACTTCTCGAACTTCACTTCGGCCAAGGAATTGATACATTTATTTTTTTGTGAGAAATCACGTACAGATACAACGCAAGAAAGTCATAAAACCTCGACAAGAACGTAGCGCGTTAAGTAAAAAATCAAGAAGTCCTTTACGTCGTCGTGATTGGGTCTTTATATGCATGTGGCGCGTTCCCGCCCTTTTTATTCGCGCGGTGTCGCGACAGCATTTTCGTACTGAGCATTGGCTATTCCAGGAAAGCGAGCATGCGACATTCCAATAAAATATTTCAATAAATATCGTCCAATATTTGCAGGAAGCAAACATGTCACATTCCAACGAGGTAGCATGCTATGTTTCGGAAAGGCAAGCATGCAATATTCCTTCGGACTTCCGACGACATCCTAAGAGTACTATACTATATATGCGTAGAGTTAATCTATGCATAACGATTTGCTTAAAAACACTTTAATCAGTTTTATTTTTAACTATTACCTATCCGAAAAGAACTTCGATTAAATTTCTCGATTTAACGTATAAAATTCTTTATTCGGTAATTTTGATTTTCGATCGTGGCTGCATTACGAATATTGGTTAAAGCGAAAGATCATAAAACACGTATAAAATTTTATACACAACTATTATTAGTTTTATCACTCTTCTGTAATAATTAATGTAATGTCTGTTACATTGTAACACGAAGCAGGATAAAATTTGTTAAAAATTGTAAATTAACTTGCGATAGTATAAGTAATAGTATTATTAATTACTATTTAGTCATATAAACATCAATGGAAAAATTCTGTCTTTCAAATTATATTTTGGCTGGTTTATTGCACTTAGTTAGAAATCCGCGTTATCACACGTTGTTTTATAAACAAGCTTATTCAACTATCTTATATTTTATATTAAACAGTATTTAATAAATATTCTTTTCAAGATATTCAAACTGCCCAATTCTTTACACTCCTATAAAGATTCTCCTAGTAAAGCGTCATAATCGTTGTCAGATATTTGACACAATACATATCGAAATTCCGTCCAATTTCTATATGTACATAATTAAAAATATCTTTAGCAACCGTTCTTAAAATATTCGAAATTCTGCTTGCATATAGTGTCAAATATCTTATATAATCTTTATGCAAAAACATGATGAGAGAACATTTTGTTCAATTAATCTTTGTATCACATAACATATGTACAGTTAAATAATACTTTAGCTTTCCCTTACCCTGTCCCTAAAATGTGAAAGGAAGTATTGAAGCCGCCTCTATGGTAAAGATGGTAATGATGGAACAAGCGGTGGCAAGGGCGGAGCAGGTGGAGGTATTTCATATTCCGAAGTAACGATATCGTCCAAGTGTTTCAGCCAATCGACATACAAATGTGTCAAACTAGCAATACCAGCCAACGTCATTCCTCGACAATAACGTGTGTCCAGATAATACAGACTTTTACAGTACAATGTAATAGATTCAAGAGTATGATCTGTAAGTTGTGAACATCCCTATGGCAAGGAGAACCTCGGTGTAAATTTTAGAAACAGTAGCTATATTTTTTAATCTTTCGTTGCAAAAAATACCTGTATGAGAAGTCGTTTTAATCTATGTAATCTTTGTGCAACATATGATATACCAATGTCAGATATATTGTGACACTGATTTAAATACAAGTCTTCGATCGCTGGATTATTTTTAGACAAGTAATCCAATCCAACGTGTGTAATCTGTAAAAAAAAAAAAAAAAAAAAAAAAAAAAAAAAAAAACGTGTCTTTCGGTCCAATTTTAAAAAAAATTTATGTAAAATTTATTCCCACCTGTTGACATTGGCTTAAGTTTAATATTTTCAATTCTGGAAAAGCGAATGAATGCTTTAAACTGACATCGGTAATTTTATTGCATCCAGAAAGATCAAGTTCTCGGAGGCATTTGAGCCTCAACATAGAGAATCCGGAAAACGTATTCGAAGGCTTAATAGCCACGTTTTCACAAAGTTTCATGATTTCACGCTTTCGATCAGCGTCGCGTACTATTTCTTCTTCTGCTCTTGAGCGTAAACCGATTTCTATTTTTTCGACATGCTCATGGTTACCAGCACTCATACCCGTTAAGCCAGCATCACTGACATCAACGCAATGGCTTATTTTTAATGTATGCAAATGTACAAGCTCCTTGAATATCATCTATAAAAGATAAACTTACTTTTATATGCATGAGCATCATCACTGGTACAAAAATTTATGATTTACAGCGACTCTCTTAAACTTTAGTAATTCCTGAAAGTTCAGGAAAATGATCAGCATAAAATCTATTGTGAAATCCTTTCCACAGAACGACTCTAATTTTAAGGTACAAAATAACGATGGTAAAATTATATCCACGCACCTGTATCGTTTTATCGGTGACACCGTTAAAACAGGAGCTAAGTTCAAGATATCTTAAATTAGGAAAGGACTTAGATATGCATTCAACTGATTCTTCATGAAGATGCAATGCACTTGCCGACAATATCTGCATTTTCTCTTTTCTTATCGTTTTCTTTACGATATAATTCTTTTCTGGTAAACCAAAATTGATGTTTTCAGGATCAATGTCTTGTACTATGCTACTGTCATCTATGTTACAATAGCCATGACTAGAACATAAGCCATGAATAATGCAATCTCCGGTGAGTTGTTCGTCCTCCGAGATATCAAGTTCTTTCAAATGTTTTAGAGATTGAATATACAGTATACCCATATCGGTTACTGCACGACATCTTCTTATTCTGAGCGTTTCCAGTTTCGTCAAATTTTTACAAATATGAAGTAAACTGGCGTCCGTAATTCGCACGCAAAAACTAATGTCAAGGACTTTCAAATAAATTTGATGCTGTGCCAATCCTTTGATACCCTCTGTGGTTAATTGATAACAGCCTTGCAGCATTAAAGATTCGAGTTTCAAGTCTTCCAAGGCTGATAATGTAGCTAAAGCAGTCCCATCGATCAAAGTGTAGCCAAAATTCAGGTGTTTCAACTTGTACGCTTGTTGTCTCAGATAGTGTAATGTATTTAAAAAAGTAAATACCGAATTTGAAGCTTCTGTTAAAGTTAAGTTTTGAGGATAGAACTTTTTATACAATCCATAATGAAAAGATATCTGACAGCCCATGAGACTTAAAGATTCTAAGCTTGGGCAAATAGAAACTAGTCTGTTGAAAAGAGCATCACTCAAAAAACGATTACACCCAAGACTAAGTTCTTGGAGATTTTTAAATGTTTCAGAGAGCTCTTTCTTGTCATTTTCATCTTCTAAAAGCCTGCCAGACATCAGGCACTCTCTACAACCATGAATGTGTAATACTTTTAAAGACTTGCAGCATTTAAATACTTCTACAAGTGTTTTTTCACTTAGATCACAACACAACTGAAAATTAACATGTAGAATTAACAAAAAGAATTCTTTCTCTAATCAGATACTATTGTTGTATTTAGTTAAAGCAATTGTACCAATATAAGACTCTTCATGTGAGGTCCATACTGATCCCAAATAGGCATGTTTCTCTTCAATTCCACTTCTCTAAAAACAAAGTGATAGAAAGGTCTTATAGAATGTTGCAAAATTTTTATCACTTGGTTTAAATTATCGGCACGTGGTCTACCAAGAACCAGTGCTTCTTGATCCAGAAATTTCATTGCTAGAGAAGCTTCACGCCATGTTCGATTGACTAGACCTGCTGACATCCTATCAGATGTAGACAGATAGGACAATATATGTATTATTACCTAAAATTAAAATAAACCTGGTCAGTAAATTCAGATTTCCTTTAATCAGCAAAGAACAGGAAGTGTATGGGGAAAAATAAATAAAAATAAAAATTAAGATATCTTGTCGTATAAATTTATTTTTTCCCTATCAAAGGAATAAAAGAAATATGAAATCAGTTGAATAAATCAAATCCTTTAAACCATTTATATGATTTTTCGTAAATGAACGTTCCTATTTAGGTTACTGTATAACCGTTTATATTGCAGAAACATGTATAATGTTAAGAGAAAAATGTAAGCAACAAAATAGTTAAAAAAAAAATTATAGAGCATCTTACGTAACAATTTAAATGTTAAGAATAATAAGAAACTTACATCTATAGGTAATTGAACGGTATCCGTTTCTATCATGTTACTCATACGAGTTTTGTTACCAGACATTATCGCCATAACAAAACCGACAATAATATAATGCAACAAAGTGTTTTGTCCCGCCGAATTTTATAAGTTTTAATTCGCAAAATTTACGTAAAACATTAACACAACAATCAAATCATTGCTTAGATGTGTTACAGCTGTTTTTTACGACAGTCACGTGCTTTTTGCGCATACTGAAATCACGCCATAAATATAACACTTCTGATTTGCCGTATAATGTACAGCATTCGTTGGAAAGTCGACTAAATACTTCTCACATTTGCTTCTTACTGTCATCCTATCGCTAATATTCTACGTTTAATCACCGGATTTATTCCACGAGTGAGCAACATTTTTCATAGTTTCATATTATATCTCTTATTAACGTAAAATTTAACAAAGATCAGCGACGATTTAATTTACATATTCACTGACCCGTTTCGATTAACAATCGATTTATTACTACATAAAGAATACAAAGATCTGTCTGTCTTGTAGTCGACGACATATCTACTGAACGAGATCTGTCAAAACAAATCAGCTGGATGGATTTAATGGCCTATGTACCCCATTTTTCAGAGGCGCCAAATTTGGAGGTAAACTGAACACCTCGAAACGTCATTTGACAAAATTCCGTATACATATTTGAAAATTGTGCTATAATCTAATTACTGATTATCATTATTCAAGTGTCGTACAATTTATTAATTACAAAGGGACGGAAAAGTGTTTAATTTTTACATTATACAGCGTATTCCAGTTATCCGACATATCTGCGAACAGCCGCAAGAACAAGATGAATTAATGAATATCAGACAGGGGAATAAAATTTGGACAAAGTTGAGTCGATGGTTTTTAAGACAACGTATTGTATCCCGAAAACATCCCCTGACTCGTTGGTGTCTGAAAAGCACAACTGCCGTGAATTATGAAATTTCAAGGCACCTCAAGTCACATCCATATATGATACATCCGTTCAGTTTGTTTAGGTTAACCTTAAGCCCCCTTTCTATCGACGCATTCCGATCAGAATATTCATATTAATATCTACAGTGAGAATATGATTGAAATTTTCACAGGATCGTCTGGGAATCATTAATGACAGTGTTCACCATTATATCCCTTCTAATTACACCAGTTTCCATAACATTCTACTACGAGCATCACGAAAATTGGCATACGATGAACGACATAATGAACATAGTGTTTCTATGCGACATTGTCATGTGGTTCTTTACAGGTTACTATGATTATCCGACGAAGGTCATAGTTCTTGACCCTATGATAGTGGCACGGTACATTAATCATTAATTAGATATCAATCGTAAACGATTCCTCTTAATTCATCGTCCTTTCCTTTTTACAGAAAATATTTACAGAGTTATTTCCTCATAGACCTTCTAACCGTACTACCCATAGGAATCCTCGATTATGTAGTACCTAACTCGTTATGGTACTGTACTACGTTGAACATGATGAAGATATTAAGAGTTCGTAATATTATCGTTTATTCACGCAGACTTCACAACGTTAGTTTCTCCTGATAACGATCAGAATTTTAAAAAAAGAGAAGAAATCGCCAATTAAAATGTCTTCGTCGTTTCAGGTATACAGAATAGGTTTCCAGGTGCACAAAATCTTGGAGACTATTGCTATTATCGTAACATGCATTCACTGGTCTGCTTGTCTCGAGTATTACGTTCCTAAATCTGTGGAAGTATTAGGCACATTAAGTAACGAGTTAGTATAGTCTATGGAAGAAATACACCGAGATCGTAAGTTCGTTCAGGCGTCAAAGTTTACACAACAGAAACCAATCGATGGCGCTGCTTGATACTTTCATTTACGAGCTCGCTGTATTTCTTCCATCGACTGTACTTCTTTTTTTTTTTAACTATAACTGTTTCTTCTACGATGAACATTTTTTTTTGTTTGTGACTTCTATTCAGCTCTTGGATCAAATCTGCTTACTTTCAAAATAAGAAAACGTTCGTGAAGAAGTATCTGGTGTGCTTAAATCGTGCAACCATCGCTTTCGTTCGTTCTGCTCACTATTTAAACATGGAAACACCGGAGGATATTATACTAAACATGTTTCTAACGATCCTTGGTTTCCTTGGCGTGATATTTCTATTAAGTAAAAAACTTGCCTATTACATAGAATCGATCTATGATGAAAAAAAGAAATAAATAGTGATTGCTCTTTCCAACAGCGCAATTCTCCCAACTGATGACGACGTTTAACATAACTATCAAGCGTCACTTGAAGATAATACAACAACTGCAAGAGTATATCAGATACAAAGAACTTCCGTATGCTTTGCAACGTCGTTTATTAGAGTTTTATCATTATCGCAACAAAAAAGGCTTCGAGAGAAATAAAAAGATTATAGACGAAGTTTCGCCGTATCTGCGTGAGGTTTCGAACGATACTTTCTAGAATTATACAGGATGTTTCAATAAGTTGGTGACCAAATTTAACGTTATTTTATAACTTTTTAATTAATCATTCTCGGACATAGGTTCATATGAACTTTTTCCATCTGTTTCACCTCCTAAATACGCTGTATTGATACAGCATCAACCTATTGAAACATTTTCTATATACCAGGTGTAAAAGAAATATTAATCACATATTTCATACGGTTAAACACTTCTCAGGAGCTGATTTTACATAATTATATGAGGCTGATCAGCAGCGTAGAATTGTTCAAGCATCTACCGGAAACTGTGGTGATACAGTTAAGCAGCGCGTTGCGTTCTGAAATCTATATGACTGGTGACGAGGTCGTGAAGGCTGGTACTCGCGGTGAAGCTCTGTACTTCGTCTCTTCCGGTACCGTGGCTGTCTACACTGCTGTGGGAAAAGAAGTACAAATTCACGTTCCTTATCGTGACTTTGTCCATTCCTACACGTTTCTTTTTCTCATTTCTTTTTTTCTTCTGTTCCGCGAACGATACTTAAAGGTTTGTCACTTGGAAGACGGAAGTTACTTTGGGGAGATCGCACTGGTGATGGACAGCGAGCACAGAATCGCCACTGTGGTCGCGGTGGAGATCTGTGAAATTAATGTGCTGCGCCGCGACGACTTCCGAAGATTCATCTCGCCCTATCCTGATCTATTGAATCGCCTGCAGAACGTCGCTCTCGATCACCTGAACAAGAGCCTTCTTCTCGACGTCGCGCAGGATTTAGCTGTCTCTCACACGCCTCAGTATATCAACATCAGCAGTATAAAGAGCAAAAGATTTATTCATTAAAGCATCGTTGATTAAGGAAGAATCTCTTCGGCTTCTTGTTTGATTCTTAAATTTTTCAATCTCCAAGTTCAAATAGTTTTAATTCACATTTTTAAATTGGAATTTTAAAATTTAATTTTTTCAATTCAAGCATTTTAATTCACATCGTTCTATTGAAATTTTTAGATTCAATTGGGAAATTTGAATTACCCGATTCAGATATCGAGATACATTTAAGAAATAATTCAACAACGATAATTCCTCCGTCTATACGGATTCCTATAAGACTGCTGGTAAACGGACATAAGTCTCCAGTGTTCAGGAAAATCAGCGTCTCTGTAGCCGTTCACGACACTGAAAGGAGGAGACAGACTGTCGATGCAAAAGTTTCTCCTGGCGAAAGGAGTTCTTGGTCTTGGTATCGTTGACTTGATACCAGTTTTCCTCGGATTATTTTCACTCTTCTCCATACCCAACGCCAATCCAACAGCTGATCTGATCAATCTAGGATCTTCCTTGATATTCTTTGCCTCACAGGCAACGCACTTCCTGAAGGACACATTCCTCGGTCCTCCGCCAACCTGAATCTTCTTTGAAATCTTCACTTTATCTAAATCTTTGCATAGACATTCACAGCAACATTTACCATCCTTACTATCCACCACTTTGTTCTCATTCCCCGAATGATTTCCATCTTCCTGTGATCTGTACCGACCACGACCTGAAGTGGGAGGTTCCTCTTTCCTCGCAGAGCCAGAATGAAGAGAAGCTCTGGACGTTGAAGTGTGTTGAACGAGACTGAATATAGCTGGTGCAAGTCCACCTTCAGAACCATCGATATGAGCAGGTTTATGTGGTTCATAAACAGGATCTACAGGAGTTTCCCAACAAATAGCCAGATCCATCTTGGTCTTAGGTTCCTTGTAGCCGAGAACAGGTTCATAACGTCTGCTCAACTTCTTCAAACAGTCTTCGTCAGTTCGTTCACAATGTTTGCAGGATCCGCAACAGCATCCTTGTGATCTCACGTTCTTGAAGATAGAATCGTCAACCCTGTCTGGAAGTGGTTGATGCTCTAGATTTTCTGCATGAAGCTTCTTTGCTATAGCGAATCGATCGTAACAGAGTGATCGATTCTCTGGTAATGGTAATGGAACATCCTCCTTGACCTCTTTTCTTACTGGATCGTCTGATACAAGCTTCTTCAAGGAAGATATTTTCAAGTTCCCGGAAACGTATCGCGGCTGACAACATTCGTGCAACTCGTTGCTTCCTGGAGGAAGCAGTTTTCCTGGACAGTGACCGCAGCACTTTTGATTCTTCATATTTATCAGTCTTCATTTCCTTCCTCAATGTTGATAAGTCTATGGAAGTCCATAAGATAGCGAAGAATTATTTTCAACGAACACTTTCAAGCTTTCGAATTTTTCCTGCGCTCAGCTCGATCACCGCAGGAATGTAAAGTGAACGAGAATGGTTGTTTACTTGACGACGGGATGGCTCGATAATCGTGCTATACTTATCTACGTAGTTATACTGCTCTATTCGAGAAGTTCCAGGACAAATTAAATAAAATACTAATTATTCGTTTGTTCGACAATTTGGTCACTTTCGAAATAATTCTCATTCACAAAATCGCTGGGAACTGTATTGAGATGATTTTTTGCTTGTTTGACAAAAATTTCGAAATTTCAGACGAGTTGGTTTTACAATACATTAGATTCCTTAAGTCGAGGATAAGATGGTGTTCCCGAATTTTATTTTATCGCCTCAGCTTATTCGGCGAAATTTATCTCACCGCCTCGATTATGAGTCACAACTACTCCCACGTGGTGTAAGTTCCACAAAGAGAAGGCAAAAATTTCGAAACTTCGGTTAAGTTGGTTTTACCTACACTCGATTCCTTGTGTCGACGATAAAAAGAGCCTAAAAAGCATTCGTAAAAGCACAGCCATATATTTTCGAGAAATCAGCATACAATCTCGTCAACTCATAAATTCGTCTATTTTTTACAGATCGAATCACGCGAACGTCTCGTTACACCCAAATAGTATATCGTTTAGGGACTACTTAACCGGTTAGTAGGAACACTTTGTGTACCACATCACGATAATAATCAAATACAGAATTTATTTCGAAACTTTTTCTTAATAGAGTACCCGGTACGTTGACAATCTTGGCACAGGTAATTTTAGAATTCGCAGGATAATCTCGTAAAACGTTCCTAACCTTGCACGATTCACGCGTTATCCAATTACGATCTATGAAATTATTGAACCACTTCTCCGCCAAGAATACCTTGCTAATATATTACATAGTTTCCTGGAAGAACGTAGATCAAATGCAACGATTAGAATTTTCGCATGGTAAAAGTCTCGGGTAAGTGAGCATGTGCTCACACGAGACGAGGAAACTTCCTGATGCAGTCTGCGATTCCCCGTATCGTTGCACAATGCGTTGCACTGTGGGACAGTAGAATCGTGCCACGAATAGGAAAACACCAATGACGCCGGGGAAATACGGTGAATCTATTTTATAATGCTCTACTCAGGATTACAGATTTGGAACATTCCCCTCTGACTACCGCGAAAATTTTACGAGAACCGTAAAGATTCGATCTGAGAACCGGTTTTTTCCGTGTGAATTTCTCGTATGAAATTCCACGGTACATACCAACAGTTGAAAAAAGAAATTTTTCTGAATAAAAAGAAACGATTTCAGTAATACTTTTACGTTTTGTTCGAAATTCAATTGTATAACCTAACTTTTCAACGATTTCCCAGAGATCTGCATATTATTTATAGCTACATACATATCGATGATCTAGCAAGGTACCGTTGGAGCAATGCCATTCCCCTTCCACCACGGAATCCTTGGCATATTGAATTTAAAGCGCGTCTTTAATCATGCCCCGGGAAGCACATGGCAGTTGCACGCAACACGCGAACCCTAAGTCGTTTTGCTATCGTTCCACGGAGTCTGGATTGGATTAAAGAAACCTTGTTTCGATACGTATTAGATTTCACAAAGAACTAAGTCGTGACGGACTAAGTGAAACAATATGAAACACTTGTCACGTTTAATAGAAAGGAACAGTTGAAGTACAAATTTGGTTGTACGGTGATCTATCGTCGACTTCCTTTATTCCATTTTCGATTTAACTAGCGTAGGAAAAATGAGCGATTTAGCGTAAAGAAGCAGCGCCGCTAAACGATTCATTGCAGTAAACAGTGACCCTGAAGCAAGTGGTAAACCCAGTGTCCAGGCCACGAATCGTGAATCAGCGTGTTCAGGTCGGGTGGATGGAGACCAAGCGCTCATTCGAACTGTTGCAGTAAAACGCGCTCTTAGTTGCAGACATCACGACTCTATAAACACTTGTTCTTCAGAGGAAAGAAGACAAATCGCGTTTATATTCAAGAGGGGTAGATAACATAAAACCGCAGTCTCTCTGACTCTAGCAATCCTAACACGTGCCGTGACCTGTTTCTTTTTTTCTTTTTTCATATTTCGAGAGTACTACCAAGAAAGAAGAAATAAAGAAGTTGTTTTTTTTTCTCGAGAAGAGCCTACCGGTGTGTCTTTCAGTGAATAAAGTGAATTATTTGAAAAGTACAAGTGGTATCCCTTGGTGTCACTGAACTATGATTCAACCGAAAGACGATAATGAGGAAATCATTTACATGGACGACGTTGCCGACGATGCATTGAAACCATTGACAAGCCAACCGCTAGAAACGATCAGGATTGAACCACGTTTGGGCTCGATGCTCGAGACAGACAATACCAATAATCCAAAACCAACTTCTGGTCCCGAGATAGACGACCTTGAACCTGACGAGAAACCTTCGATAGGGTTCGATATACGAGGAATCGATGATGGCCTCCTGCCAAGTGCACCGCGAACACCGGAAGTTTCGAGTTTTCCCGACAGCAGAATGCCAGTGCCATTCTTTCCAGTGCCACCTCTTGAATCGATACCTGACGTGAACGTCTATCAACACAAGAAGACACTTGCTCAAGGGATGATGGATTTGGCTCTTCTATCCGCTAATGCGAATCAATTACGTTACGTCCTACAGACTGACGGAGGCCATCCATATTACTATCCGTCTTTAGTGATGATAGGTGCCAGTTTATTCTTGCAAATAGCTGTGGGAATAGGATTAATTTGGAATAGTAGGTACAATGTGAAGGATGATGCACAAATGTGCAAGGCTGAGAAGGCTAATAATTTGACAGTGATAGGTATATTTCTAGTGACAATTTTGAACGTTTTTATCTCGTCGTTTGGCGTCGTTGATCAAGTAACGACGATACCTGCACCAACTTAGGACTCTTAGTGAAATAATGTTCGATTTTAAGAAGAGACAATCGCGTGAATGTTTTATACTGTGGGTGTAATGTATTTGAATGGCTATGAAAGGGAATGCCTGTGTCTTATTTTATTATGAATATGGAACTTGAACACAAGAAGGAATTGATTTTAAAATATCTTTGAGCTTCTTAGAAAGCATCTCTTTCTTCTTTGTTAAATCTTCTGTTTCTTTGTCCAGTTCAGCAGAAATTTCTGTTAGCCATTTCTCCATTTCTGCATCATCACCTTGAAGCCTTAGCATACGTTCAATACAATTAGGTTCATAGTTTGGGGAATCTTTACATCTCTCTTTGGATGACAGAACTTTAAGCCTTTCTTGTGTCATGTAATCCAATAAGGAAACAAACTTTGTTGCTTCATTCCAATCTATGTCTTGTAAACTGGTGCTCATTGATTTATTATGTTCTTCGACTACTGTTACCTGAAATTTTTTATTACCATTGTTGTACAATGTTTTATAAGATAAATTATATGAACATAAGATCAAATTTTTCCTATATACCATCCATTCAAAGAATATGTGTTCTTTTTTCAACCATTTCATGTGTATATCTAATAAACTAGCAGTAGCAGACAACTCCTTTATATATTTTTTATCTTCATCAGAAGGCAGGTTCTTGTTAACAGTTGAAATACGTTTTACCAAAGCTAATTCTGATACACTCAGGTGTGGAAGACCACTATAGTTTTTACTTGCAGCATGAGCTTTGTTTACTAATTTAGTTCTCTCAGAAACTAACTCAGATATCTGTTTTATATTATAATTCACTTTACCACTTAAGTACAATACATGGTTTATTTGTGCTGGTATAGACTCTGGTACATTGTACTCTATTTCTTCTTTCTAAAAGATAAATAACTCATACATATATACATCCTTTAATTCATGTTTTAATTACATTTATGTCTAGCTAATTACTTCTGAATTATTTGCATATGAAAACTCTTTTCCTAGCACACTGTTGGACAATTTTAGTTGAACAATAATACTCAAAATATTTTCTGTTCCCAGAAGCCATGCAAATGCTAATAATAATGGCCTGTTATTTTTACTCTCTGCGCTTAAAGCATAAAACTCTACTGCAGGATACTGTAAATATGCAAAATACAATTTGGTAGCCCAGACTATATCTAAAAAAAAAAATCTGAACTTATAAAATCATTGTGCATGGAGTGTGAATTAAAAATATTTAAAAAAAACATTAACAAAATTTACCAAATTGTTCGAAATCAGCTGCAATTATTTTTTCTTTCACAGCATGATAACTTAAAATGTTCAACGCTTTCCAAAACACCTCTCTCTGATACAGAAAGGAATTATCGATTAAAAATCCTTATTTCACGAATCGCGTAACATTATATAAAGGTTATGCGATACACTCACGACATTTTCAGCAGTGCTATTGAATTTCGCCAGTCTAAAATACTCTGGTTTCATCGTGACGTTGATCGACGCATTTAAATGCTGACATAATAACGACAAAACGCTCTTTATATCGGACATTATTATGATTTAAATCAAGCTTGACATTTGCTATTCACGTGATTGCTATTCACGTGATTTGGCGCGCTTTTTTTCAAGATCCGACTTCATTCCCGAATAAAATTCGATTTTAGTAGAAACTTACTTTCCTCCTAAAGAACTTCATACTTCTTAAAGTATTGCAAACGTTTTAGAACCATTTCACATTCACAATGCACAAAATACCTTTCATTATTCCCTACAATAGTATTGTTCGGATTATAGAACCGATAGATCGATACTTCGAGTTCCATAAAACAAAGAATCCCGCCACCAGCTATTAACAGGTGGCGGGAACAGATTCCTAATGACAAATACGGTTACCTGCACGACCATTCTTATTAAAGCACACGACCGTCATTACATAGGCAATTACACTCACGACAGAAGAATTTTTGTTCAGGTCAAAAACGCGGGACTTCCTTACTTCGTTCGAACAATTATAAACTGATACTATTAACAGATATCATTTGTCACAGTCAATGTTTTATTTGTGATTACTATTTTTTTTTGCAACTAAATTTATTATCTCCTATCTAATTTATTTTCAAACTTCAATTTAATAACAGATAATTATATTCTAAGAAATTTTCAGTGGAATTTTCACAAACACACACACATCTGTATATACCAAGAAAAGGAAAACATTAACTAGACGCACAATAAAGATACATCAAAAGGAAATCTCTGACACGTTGCTATTAATGGTGAATTAACTATTGTCAGTCTGTGACGAAACACGTTACATCGTGGTTCTATCATATACCGCGTTCCTGTTATACAAATATCCATACTGCACCGTAGGAGCCGCTTGCCCCGTTCCCTGGGGCACTTAAGCCTGCGATTACAAGCCGTTAATATAACGAGAACCCCACCTGGTACGCAAAGAACAGGTCAATCGCGCGCGATCGGTCGAACGTGCAGGATCGCCGAGCGATTCGTCGACGATCTAGCCTATTCTTCACTTTTCTGTTTTACTCTGATACTGTTACAACTCTGATAACGGTCGTCTCCAGGGGCCGCTTCTCGTTTAAGCAAAAGTTAACCAAGTGAAAGAGGCGCGCGTTAGAGTAATCTAGACTCGCGGGAGACGCGCAAGATCTCGACGAAGTAACGACACACGACGCGACAGCCGAAGAAAACGAAATCGGAGAAGAGTGTTTCTAGAGTGTGAATTTGTGAATTTTTATGTGTTAAAACGCTTGAGGTGGCTCAGTTACATTTGGCGAATCTTCAAGTGTGAAAATATGGGACGAGGATACGACGGTGGTCTGATTCTTATGCTCGCCGAATTTTGTTTTTTGACGGTACTGGTAAGGACACGTTTTTTCCGTGTACGTACGTGATGTTAATGTTGTGACAATACACACTGTGACGACAGTGGTTTACCTCGAAAAGAATCTGGACTATTCTGAATGACATTAATAAGATAGTTATCATTACGGTTCGTCTCTTTGAAACAGTTCTTAATTTTCTCTTGAAAGCAGTAGACTCTCGTTTTTAATGTGTCTATTGTTTATCGAAATATATCATCCGGAAAGAAACGTTCCATCGGTAACATTTGAAAAAGAACATGATTTTGTCAGAAAGATTGAATGTGTATTATAACGTGATTATCATGAGCCGGTAGAATAGAGAGTTTCTCTGAACGTGTATGCATAGAACGAGAAACGATGTAAGAAATTAGCTAACGGACCATCATATTTACGTAACCCGAGATCTGTTATCGTCGTGTAACAGTAACCCAGTAGTCAGGTTGAACTTGCATCGAATCAAATAAATTATTTCAGCGTTTTGTCAGAACGTTGAACTCTAATGAAGAAACTAATGATATTCATCTTTGACTCAAGTATTTTAGTTATAGTCTGTTAAATTATAGATCTGTAAACTGATGAACAGAAGTACCGTACGACTTAGTGATTTATCCCTGCCTATTATTTAGGGACTTTAACGATTATGCGCAAGGGTAAACGATATTCGTGCATGATTCTCATAAATACTTGATAGTTTTCATTTGACGTTTACGATTCACGAAATACGATAATACCTTCTTAGGAACGGTAAAAATGTAAATAGAAATGTTTTACGATCTCATTTCCTTTCAAATACGATAAATTATTACGCCCCCGGAATCCGTTTAAAAATAATCAAATTGACATTTCGTATCGTGAAAAACGATACTTTCGTAAGATAAATTGTTAATGTAATGTAATATAATCGTTTACTGCAATGGAAGTTATTCGTGTTTTTTAAACATCGTTACTTCGTTATCATTAAAAATTCTGTCTCCATGCTCATCCGTTTATTATTAGACTGCATTTTTTATTTTCTTTCGGGCAGATTATCTTCGTGTTTTCTACAGCAAACCTGCGATTTCAGTGCGTCATTTCGCGGTTAAGGATATGCAAAAATTTTGCAAAATTATTCGAATCAATTTACTTAAATACGATTAAATGTCACTAAGAGCAACTTGAACGCTGTCGATTGGTGCTTGTGTACGTGTTTATCTCGGCTTAATATATTGAGTAATGTATTCAAGAAAGAGAAAAAAAGAGGACGCAAGAGTAAAGGAAAAAGACAAGCAGTATTCTACGGAGAAAAGATCGCTGGTATCCTTCAAATTCGTTGGTCAAATAAAAAATGAATAAGAGCGAAATACTTTCCGCAATATCTATCACTACTTGTGACGATTCTTAACAAGATTTCATGAGAAAAATTTGCACGTTTAATAAAAATAGTAAACAAAACAAGTATTGTTGTCCATTTTGTTACACGATTTCCTTTCAAAAAACATCGGTCCACGTTTAAAAAACATTGGATCTTTTCTTCTTTTTTTTTTTACTTCTGTAGTTATAACGAATTCCCGATGAAGTGATTACTTCACTATCGTTACGATGTGCTTGGAATTTCGATTCGTTTCACTGATACACGCGATATTTCTACCTTTCTAAGATACCTATCGACGTTTAACAAATTCGTTACCGTTCTCTTTTAATACATGTTTTCAGGTGACGCAGAATGCTTGCGCGTATCCACACAAAATTGATCAGAACGAGAGGAATATCGACCAATTTCCTGATATTTTAAGCTACTCTAATAGAGATGAAACACAAAGCGATCTCGGAGGATTGATCGAGAAAAAATTCGAGGACAATGAATCGTTCCATTACGAACGTAGATTTCAGAGGGATACTTCTGGTAATCAACAGGAAGGTACAGCTGATTGTGAGACAATTATTTTTCAGTTGAGAATAACAATGACGTTTTATAGGTTAAAATAGATTCGTGAATTTTGAGCGGTAACCATTTTTAAATATCCGCTTTTACATTCTATGTTAGGTTCATCGCCGCACAGTAGGATGCATTCAGACGGCAAAATTGTATTCCCCGATGAAACAAAACCGGTGCCAGTTTGTAAAGAATCTACCTTTTGCGAGAGAGTGGACACTTATCCCGAAGATATAGTAACCAAAGCAATTCAACGAAACGAAAGCCTTAAATATTTGGCAGGTGTAGATGTAGTTAGTATCGTTTTTTTTTTGTTTTCGAAGAAAAATTAAAATGATCCCCTTCAAATTATTCTTTCACGTTTTGATCCCTTTTTAGATATCTGACATAGCACAAAGGATTGACGTAACAGACGACGTACCCCTTTGCGTCTCTACTGTACGTATATATTACAATATCACGTTTCTTTCTTAAAGAAGTGAAATAAATTGTAATATATTTACTCGCTTATTGTTTAAGGAACAAGTCATATATCCCCAGTCAGCGGAGAACAAAGACAACGAATGGAAATACATTGCGAATCAAGAAAACTTCAAACAGGGTATACGTATCGAAAAGTGTAGGTAGGTAGTATTATTGAGTTATTTTTCGAAAATTTTTGTTGGTTAGAAATATTACAAGTATTTCGATATTTTTTTTTTTACAGAACAGAAAGTACCAGTTGTGCCATGTTTGGTGAGCTTGCTGCGGGTTATAAAACGAGCTGCAAGCAAAAATACGTTTACAGACAACTCGCGTCGGTATTGGAAGACGGCACGCTTGTTCCTGACACTTTTCGATTTCCATCGAGTTGTTGCTGTCACGTAACGTTCAGCACAAATCCGCTTATGCACAGAAGTCTAGTCACGCCTACTAAAACGCGTAGGAGGAAATGAATGTTTGTTTCAATATTACGAACAAATACAAGGAGAGGCTCTTTTATAGAGCGTTCATTAATATCCCCTTGATTCTCAGTGAGATTTTCAACAAGTATGCATTTAGAGTACATTCGTTGTTGTTTGAAAAACAAATCGTGAGAAACAACAGTGCAACGTTATTTCTATGGTATTTTAAGGCCACGATTTTTTGCAAGTTCGCTATCTTTTTTCGAAAAAAATATGTAGAGCTTATATTTTCTTTTCGTGATTTGTTTTTTTAAATAACGCTTTT